GCTGGCAGGGACCCCACGGATAAGGATGAGGATGAGGAGGAGAAGGAGGAGAAGGAGGAGGATGAGGAGAGGGAGGAAGAGGACGATGAGGAGGAGGATAAGGAGGAGAATGTGGATGAGGAGGATGAAGAGGAGGAGGAGGATGAGAAGGACAAGGTGGATGAGGATGAGGAGGATGAGGATGAGAGGGAGAAGGAGGATGAGGATGAGGAGGTGGATGACGATGAAGATGCAGAGGAGGATGAGGAGGAGCAGGAGGAGGAAGAGGAGGAGGACAAGGTGGATGAGGATGAGGATGAGGATGAAGATTAAGAGGATGAAGATGAAGAGGAGGAGGAGGAGGAGGAGGATGAGAATGAGGATGAAGATGAGGATGAGGATTAAGAGGATGAGGAGGATAAGGATGAGGATGAAGATGAGGATGAGGATGAAGATGAAGAGGACGAGGAGCTGTCTTTATTCAGAAGCAAAGGGTTCCTCTCGCAGCGGCCGACTCAGAATTGGGGGCGGTGGTGGCCCCGGCTGCGGGCGATGGACGAGGCCACCCCAGGGCCCAGCTCAGGCTCTCTGGGCGGGTTTGGGGTAGGACCACGCGAAGACGGCGTCGGCGAGCGCCGAGGGCAGGTAACTGAGGGGGATGTAGAGCAGTTTGGCGTCCCAGCCCGCGGAGTAGCGGCTGCGGGGGCAGCGGCTGGTGAGGGCGTGCTCCATGCAGTTGGTGACCAGCGTCAGGTCCGTGTTGCATCGCTTCTCCATGTCCTTGAGACTCAGCAAACCTGGGGGGGGCAGAGGGCGGTGGTGAGTGGAGCTGAACCGGGGTGGGAGCAGGGACAAGAGGTGTCCCCAGGGCTCGGGTTTGGGGCCAGTGTCACATCTTGGACACTGATCTGGATGAGGGGATCGAGGGCTCCCTCAGTTTGCAGTGACACTGAGTTGGGAGGGTTTTGATCTGTCAAGGGTGGGAAGGATCTGAGAGGGACCTGGATGGGGTGAATCCATGGGGTGAGGGAAATTGGATGG